AAACGATTTGTAATGTTATCGTTTACTGGCCAAAAGTGCAATGATGTCAACGAAAATGTCACATGAGTGCAAAAAAGCACCGAGCTTCTTGGGGTAGTTCAGTAAATTCAGAGAGGAATACGTCATCGTTCGGCTCCGACACCAAAAATTTCTTTGAATTTAAAAATCAGGACTGTTAGATGGCCAATCCACAATTTGTCTGAGTAACTCTACTTGTATGCTTGGAGTCATTGTTCTGCTGGAACTTCTACCTTTTTATTTTACCAGGATCTGATTGATTCAGAAATACGTTGAGCTAAATTTCCACTAAAAGTTTGCTTTATTGTATTATTTTAATACACATCCAATATTTTAACCTTGTCTTTAGACTTTTAATTAAACCGAAACGCAAATTTGCACAATTAAATGTAATTGACTTTTTGGGCAACATCTTTGAGTATATATATTAATAGAGTAATAGTTTATTTTAAACCAGTAAACACTTCCATAAATACAACCAAACCAATTTCTACAAATGCAACGAATTTGCGGTCCTAACAATGTTTAAAAATTTTGTTAGAAACCTCCTTCACTTCAATAGAAAGCCACTTATCTTTTTTATTAATTATTTTACTGATAGTTGATCGATCAATGTTGAGATTATATTTATATTTAGAGTTAAAGTAATTTGCAATTTCATTTTGTTTATAAGTCTTGTTACGACATATGAAAAATACAAATCTCATTTTTGAGTGCATCACTGATGGATGTTCTTATTGTTTTCTGTGACATTTTTTTTTGAGTGAAGAAGAAGTAATGCCAAACTTAAATCTTAACACATAGTGATAGACAATAATCACATGTCTGTAAATACTTTGTTCACATAATGTGACTAAAGAGGGGAAATTTACATATACTGTATCTGTTATTAGCCCGTGAGTGTGATAGTGATTATAGTCAAAATGTGCCTAAATAGGGGTAAATTTAATAAAATCAGTTGGTTCCAACAAACGTGTGACTACAGAGGGGTGATAACTATTAAACTTATTTTTAGTATTGTTAATATTAATACATCGAAAATTATTTAAATTATGCTGTTCAACAACTATTTTGCGCATGTCTCTAAGATACCGTTCAATTAACTCAAATTTATTCGCCCTTCTTCTGCCATTTGCTCCTTCTGATTATTGTTATCGTCTATTACTTCTGAAGTGTCCCAAATATGTGCAGAAGTGAATTCTACAATAGTATACATATTAATATATAAGCGTTGAATAATATACAAAATAAAATTAAACAAGAATTGCTTACCTCTAGCATCGCTAGTTTCAAAACTCAAATCATCCTCAACTTGTAGACTTGGATGCCTCAAAAACGGATAGACTTCTTGACGAACAACAAAAGTGAAAAGCTTGCATTTGATCTTAAATTTGGAGCTCTCAAAATTAGATGATAACACATTGGCCAACGACTTAGCAAAAAAGCCCGACAGCATATCTTTTTTTTTATGTGTATTAACAACGACTACTATTACTATCATGACATTCCAATGATGCTACTAATTAGCGTAATTGAAAGATGCATTGGAAGTTAGTTATATATATACAAGTAGAATTCCAATTTTCGATGATATTAAGAATTATTTATACTATATAGATCATAACGATATACAGTGAACTCCCTCTAAATGCAACCTCTCTAAATGCAACTTCTCTCTAAATGCACATGAAGTGTTCAGTCCCATGATGGGACTTATGAGATAAATGCACGTTCGATATTCTGCAATTGCAATCTTTCTTCCGGTCCCATCTCTATACGAGTGCTTCTCTAAATGCAATATCATGTGATCATGGACTAGTACGGTTACGTAACAAAGCCCACGATATCTTCACTGTTACATAATCGTATTTAGGGGGTGAATTGCCTATTCGGATCATACGTAATTTTGGAACGGTTATGGGGGTGGGGGAGGTATTGTATTATAAGACGAGAATTTTAATGAACCATGATAAAGATAAAGCCAATAATTGCGAGTTTACTTCAAGTAAATGTACTAACGTCACACATGAAGTTGAAGGCGTGGAAAATGTAGTAGAAGACATACACATACTGGCCAAAAGTATTGGTCACTCCTTGAAATTTACTAATAAAACATATGAAAAATCTTTTTTTTTCTAAAGTCTTGATTGTACGTATTTACTATGTAAATCACAATGATTTTGGTACTGTTATGAAGATAATTGACTGTATTTTTCGAAAAAATAGTGACCTCTTTTCGTTTTCTTATCATTGTAAAGTAGCCATTCGATGAAGTGATAGCATGTATGTTTCATACATTATCATATATGGGGCATGCTGCAACAAAACCAGACAAAGTGAACATTTGACGTCACTGTCAGCTCGAAGAATTTATTCGATATCAGCATAAAATAACTATTCTCTCTCTATACAATTTGATATCCTTGCATTGCTTCATATCTCCTTAATCTTTGAGATCACTGATACTAGTTTCTAAATATTTAACATGCCTACGGAAGCAAGTTATACAAACTGCTCTTTTTTGTTCAATCTCTCTATTTTTTCTCTTTTCTTGGTTATTCTTATTCCTGTGCAATTTTAACAAAGTCGTGCTTTTTGAGATCACTGATACTGGCTCTAGATCTCTAGGTGATAAATATTTGGAGCTTTGACGTGTCCGCTGATGGGAGAATAATCAGGTAGAACGTGAATTTTCTCAGGGAAAGTTTCCTTCATATATATCCGAAAAAATTATGTCTTAGCAATTTAATATGACGTCATTAGAGGAAAAAAATTTTGTTTGTTTGTTTGTTGTTTGGATCCTGTATTCCATCCACAATCATTTTACCTAAGCATTCGTGAGTACCGTTTACCCACTGGCTTGTTTTTCTTTTACCCTGTGAATTATTTCGCTAGTTTCATGCTCATTTATTGTGTTAAGGAACACTATGGCTCAGAATGTAGTGTGGATCCGGCTTGAGGATAAGACCAGAGCCAAAAAATTTCCTATCGTTGACGGGAATACGAATCACGATTTGGATGACCTTGCGGCAGAGCTCTGTAAAAAGGGACGACTCCAAACTCTCAAGATTGACCCAGACGATCTTGAATTTTTTGGAGATTACGACAAAAGTCATTATGGCGACGAGGACGAGGACAATAATGACAATGACGAGGACAATGACGAGGACAGTGAGGAGGAACCTCTTCGCAGTGACATTGAGCTTCGGCACTTGAAAACAACTGCTATATCTCCTTTGATCGTGAGATATCCTCTGTCAAATTACACGAGTAAGTCAAGATTTTTCTTATTCTTGCCATGTTGTACTTGTCTTCATTTTTCTATTCTTTTCTGTAACTGAATTTATTATTTTTCATTTGCGTAATATATGTGCTGATTTCCGTTCTTCTCTGCAGTCGTTGTCAACGCCAAACTTGTGAACGCTCCCACGCAAATTACCCTTGTCCATAATACTGGGGCTTGGAAAAACCTTCTTATCAAAACCAATGAGCGCTATCCTACAACCCAAGACGAGGTTATCTATTTTGTGGATCAAGCGACCAAAAAAAAAGTCATAGATGATGATTTTACCTTTTTCGACGTGGTAAAAAAAACCAAACTTAACAGCGAAGACGAAATTGTTCTCGATCTCGCTGTCAAGATCGAAGGTATGTTCGATCTTGAACCTTATAATCAATTGCTGTGCTTAAGGATTGAGTCTCTTATAATTATGTGATCATTCCATAGGCAAGAAGGCATATGGAGACTGGACAGCCAAAGAAGTTCTCCATGATCTCCTTAAGGATCGATATAAAAAACTTGGCGATTTATCCGGGCTAGATATAGGTAACATCCTTATTTTATGAATCAGTCTTTGTTATTTATAAACAGCTCTAACCGAACTCACGCTCGTTGCCATTGAAGAGAACGAACTCGGAATTCAAGTGAGCCAAGCTGAAGAAGACCAACCCACATCCAGTGCTTCCGGAAATAAGCGAGCCCACTCTGATGACGAAGAAAAAGGCTTCGTTGCTCTTCTTCAAGAGATTGCGGACGTTTTCCAGAACAATGTAAACAAAAATGAAGCTACATCAAGGAACTTTATCAACCCCTTCCTGATTAAAGGAATTAAAAAGGTTCAAAGTGAATATCCTGAGATGTTCTTATCGGTCGAAGAGGAATTTAATGGGACTCGTGGATACGGCAAGCTCGATTACGCGGTTTGGTATCTATCATATGCCATCCTAGTTACGGAGGCCAAAATGAATGCGATCGAAGCGGGAATAATTCAAAACCTGGCTCAATTATACACTGCATCAGAGGTATAAATTTGGTGCCTTATAATATCATTGTTCTTTTACATTTTCATTTATATCCTTTCAACTTTATTCTATCAGAATCTCAAACGGAAGCGCGAATCTCCCATCTTATCTATGATTTACGGGATTGTCACCACTGGGACAGCATGGATTTTTATACGTTGGAAAGACGCGTCAGGATCTGCTGACGTAAAATATTCAAAAACGTTCAATTGTTCTTTTCATGGCAAGATGGAAGAAGAGAAAACTATTCTCGATATTATTGTTCGTATCCTTCGTTCCCAAGCCAAAGAACTGAAAGAAAATATGGAAGCCGAGATTGGAAACCGCGGGAAGCGTGTTCGAGTAGATTCTGACACGAAATTTGCAGAGGAAAAAGACGATGATGCTGAAAAAGAAGGCAATAATATATCTAAATGATGATATACTGATGTATGTTAATAAAGAAGCGAAATTTCTAGCCATCTCTTGACTAATGATCGTTATATTACCGTTACTATGACGGTAACATGTTATGACGCAAACGCGAAAAACGTGTGCCATAAAATCCAAATAATTTTTTAATCTTTAGCAAACTTCAGCCCTTAGCACAAGCGTTAAAGCGCTTTGCTCAAACACTAAAGGTTCAGGGTTCAAACCCTCCATCTTGCAAGACCGACTCATCCGAAAATCATCAAAAGACCACTAACAAAATTCTCTCATCAAAAAAAAATTAATGCGGCTTAGTGAAAAAGCCCAATTACTAAAGCATACACTAATACTAACTACAATGGGTGCAAAGGCGGGCTTTACTTATCCCGTGCAAAAAACACGAAATATCGGTGAAACTTTGCGCACTAAAATGCGTTAAAAAAAAAACGCGCTTTTTCTTGGATAAAATTTATGCATAAGGAATAGCAAGGCATATAGGATTATCCCTCCCTATGACGACCCTCTTATTTCCCTAATTTTCTTTTTTTTCTTGGTTCTTGAAATGGTTCCACCAATGTCCGTTTAAGAGGCTTTTCTATCCTTTCCTCTTGGTAAACCTCGTAAGTTATCTTTTCTTGGTCCAGATAGTCCCTGATAGTCTGCGTGCTTTTTAGTTTGAAAATGTAAGGAGCGATTTTTTCACCTTGTTTTTGCTTTAAAAGAGAACGTAAAGTACTGTAGTTTTTGGGCTCCATAGTGGATCTAATATAGATAAGTTTCATATATTTCATTTTTATATACACAGTTACCCCTATGTATAATGCAATATTATCAAAATTTTACAAAACCAGACAAGCTGTGCGTAATATATATATAAAATATATATATATGGCGGACGACACAATTATGAACGAGTATGAGAAAGCTCTCCATTTCCTGGAAGTGGGATGTGGTTGCGATTGTTCGACTAGGCTGCCCAAAGAAGAATTTGCTGAATTGCGAGAGGACTTTCAAGCTCTTACCAAACCCGAACAGGATATTTTCTTAATGGCCCAACTCAGATCAATGGATGGAGGAGCAACCAGTACTAGTCGACGTCTCAAAAACAAGACGCGTGTTAATAAGAGAACCGTTTACTGCTGAAATCGCAACACTCCGATTTGTCAAAAAACCTACTTCAATATGCTTGGCATCGGCCGCAATTATTTTGAAAACATCCGAAATCATCTGCTAAAGAATGGTATAATACCACGCGTTCATGGTAACATGAAACGAATACCGCGATGAAAAACTAAGATAACTATTGATATAACCATTGCTACCGCCGTGAAGAATTTTCTCGAGAATTACGCTGAAATTCATGG